GTTTGCCGCGGGAGCAAGCAGCTCGGTTCTGTGCAGAGATTAAGTCTCCCAAATATGGAGAAGGTCACCAAGCATGGATTATTGGGATTGTAGAGAAGGGCAACCGTACCGCCAGAATCATAGACAAACCCCGGATCATCGAAGTCGCACCGCAAGTGGCCACTCAAAATGTAAATCCCACACCTGGTGCCACCTCTTAATCCAGACAGAAATTGCTATTTGGTTTTGTTTTTAAATAGATCTGTTCCTTTATCATCACTTCAATTAAAGACTGTAAACAAAAATCTCATTGTGTCTACACATCTGGTGACCTTAGGTCGATTTGTGAGTGGATGCAATTAATAAAATCCATTGCCTTTTTTTTCCTGTTACATTAACTGAAGATGCACCTAATCTTGAGGCAGCTTCTGAGTTGAGAATTATATTGTTATCCAATACTGTTGATTCATTTTGAATCTTTAGACACTTATCTCTTGCCGCATAGGCTCTTTTTAAAGGTGCTTTCACATAGCACAGACATATTAGTGTCAACTAGCAATTTGTGTCTTTTCATTTTATGTATATTTATCATAAGTCTGACCTTTTTTAAAAATGTCTTGAATAGTATTCTGGAAAGACAAAATTGATAAGTGACACAATGGTATCACAATGGTATCCCAGTGGTAAGAGGGTTGCATGATTCGTTTGAGTCTTTGATTTGTAAAGCCTAGACTTAATCATTCAAGAGCATCTCTTTGACCCAGGACATTACCCAATAGTGTATTCAGTTCAGGCAAGTGCTTTACTCTGCATGGAAAGCACTTTGAAGACAAAAAAGAAATTTTATTTTATTTTGTTTCTTTTTTTGTAGCCTTCCTGCTACAGTAATATCAATAACTGTTTATTGATAAAGCAAAAAAGGATACTTTTTGCAATGTAATTAGATGTTCTATAGTGCAGCAAAGAGTTGTCTTCCGAAAGGGGGTTCATGTATAATATTCATTTACAATTCAATATATAATTAACTACGCAAATAATTTTTAAATATAATCAATAATAAAGACTGTTCTGTGGATGGTAGTGTTTAATACATTTTATATTTTGTATAGTGATTTCAGGCCTTTTGTTTTTCTTAAAATCAGCAGCTATTTAGTCTAATTCTTAGCATTATTTTGTCCTTTGCACCAGTACTTTTTTGTGCACGCTTTTTGTGATTCTGTGTTAAAAATCTGCATTGCCAGCATTGCAGCTCAAACTTAAACTTGTTATTCAAATAAATATTTAATTTTTTTATTGCTCTTGTATAATCAGATGCCCCTTTTAGTATTATTTTAGAAGCGTTGGGAGGATTTTGCCTAAAGTACAATTTATTGGGGAAAACTAGATTTTAGTTTTATAAAACTTTTAAGCCTTTCACGGGACCTATATTTTCTTGAATTAAATTTTGTAGTTCTAGAACAAATAGGCAATCGAAGAAGGTGTTTATCTGTGTTACTTAGAAACAGAGGTTTCCTTATATTTTCACCTACTAAACAGGAGGGATTCCTGTCGTTAAGCACACGCACACTGAATCCTCAAGTGTCTGTTTTCATAAGAGAAAAAGCGCCACGTTTCTCCAAGTTCCTGAATGCTTCCTGCTTACAGGCACCAAAGCCATGTAAACTGATCAACCTTTTGCCAAAGGAAACCACCACTTGAAAGCTGAAGCTCCGTGGAAGAGGCTTTAACTCAGATGCGCTCTCCTTCAGGAACGAACCCAGCAGCCTTTATGCATGTGTAACTGGAACTCAAGCCATAAGTATGGTGTACAGTGCAGTACATAAGAGGCTGCTACAGAACTGAAATTGGACATTTTATATGAATTTATACAGATGTTGGTCCTCAAAAGTTACAAACCAGTGGTCTGCAAAATAAAATATGTTGGAAACCTCTGAGTAAGATAAAAACACTGTTGAGCTTTTTTTAAAATACATCCAAAAGGTTCTAGTAATCACTAAATCTGAACTACTTTCAATGTAGGTCATGTCCTGATTGCTGATGTTTTCCTTGGTGGCAGGCCTACTGAGAGGAAGGGAGCCACAAGGGTTATGCACTTGAATTCATCTATGGGAAGACTAGTATTTGTAAAGAGGAAATGTTGGGTACTTAGTAGTTGTTAGTTGCCATCAAGTTGATTTCTAATTCATAACAACCCCTTGTGTGCAGAGTAGAACTGCTCTATAGGGTTTTTAAGGCTGTGATCTTTCAGAGTAGATCTTCACGTCTGTCCTCTGAGGCTCTTCTGGGTGAGTTCGAACCACGAACCTTTTGTGGTAGGCCAATGCTTAACCGTTGACGCCAACCAGGGCCCCAGAGGTCCATGTAATTCATGGCCCCAGGAGGAAGAACTTTAAAGCCATATTTCTCAAAGAGTGGTCCGTATTCACCTGCTTTAGAATCACAAAACGCAGATTCCAGGCCCCACCCTCGACCTGCAGCATCAATTTCTGGAGTATAGGACCAGGGAATCTGTCTTAAATAAGCCCTCTTCTGTGGTTATGTCCACTGAAACTTGAGAAGCACTGGTCTAAAGGAGTGTTGCAGAGGGCTGGGAGAGGAAAAGGAAGGAAGGAAAAAGTGGAATCGATCTGTAATATATTTTCACAGGTATTATAAATTTTTGCCATTTTGTTTATCGACTCGTCCACATCTGGGCTATTGCCCTGCAAGGGAGGAAAAAAAAAGTATCTTAAAAGTTACTTGAAGATTGTAACTGAGTGTTTGAGTTCTTGGCCAAATCTATGTAGAACATTTTAAAATTCAGTGAACAATTAATAGACAATTGTTTGACCTCTGGTAGTACTGTAAAACTTCACATTTAGGTGTGTTCATCTTGGTATACTGATTTATTTTTGAGCCCTGTGATGCAGTTGCATCCAAAATACAGTGTTAGAATGCATTAAAATAAATGAATACAGACTGAAAAGGCTGAAGCCTGGTGGGGTGGAGATTTTTTTCTTGGGCAACAAGTTATTTGCCAAGGAAAATCAAAGTCTTTGCTTGTGATTTGCTCGTGCCGTGTTGAAGCATTTACTGTGTGTCAGTCCAGGAAAAGTTGCATAAGCAATAGTATTTTTTGGCTCAGAATTTTAAAATAGTGTACTGTAGTTTTCCAAGTTCTACCCACCTTATGATGAATAAATGTAAATGTTTAAAATTTTTCTGATTATAGATGTATGAGCCAGCAGTTTTCAGTCTGAATTAAAAGAGATATATGAGTTCTAAATTTTAAGTTTTCTGTAAAGAGAGACCAGGATATCGATACTATACTATTTATTTGTAGACTAGAACATAGATACTGATGCATCAGAAACTTAACTGCCCCGTATGTATTTGGGGTCCTTGAGTTTCTCGTCATTTCCACATCCAGCCCACCCTCTTTCTCTAGATTAGGCAATGATTGCATAGACAACATAATTTACCTTCGACAGTAATTAATACCTTCTCGTTAGGAATCCACACATGAACCATGCAGTCATTAAGCATGTCAGGGCCCACGATGAAAACCAACAGATTCAAAGTCCTACTCTTAAAGGGGGTCCGTGGTGGCACAGTGGTTAAGCGTTTGGCTGTTAACCAAAAGGTTGGCAGTTTGAATCCACCAGCTGCTCCTTGGAAACCCTATGGGGCAGTTCTACTCTGTCCTGTAGGGTTGCTGTGAGTCGGAACTGACTCTACAGCAACAGGTTGTTTTTTTTTTTTTTGTTTTTTTTTTTTTTTTAATAAAGTGAAGCATGAGAAGAATATCATATTGCCTATACTTAAATCTATCTTGAATGAGAATGAGGGTGAGTGGACTGGACAGGCCCTCATCAAGAAAACCATTGATAAGACAGGATGCTCATAGACGTCTAGACATGCTCAAGAATTGCTGTAGATGCCAAATGTTCTGGTTTAGTGAGTGAACTCAGGGTGAATAGGTTTTGAGTTGACTCTGACTCAGTGACCTTATGTATATTTCTATATTCCTATATTTCACAGTACTTAAATGTGATATTCAGCTCTGCAACCACACAATTGATGTCTTCAGTGGTCTAATTGTCCTCCCTAAATGCTGTTGCCTTTAGAGGAAGTGTTATGGTTAGGGGGACTGCATGTAATGAAGGTCACCAAAGCTTCATGGAAAGAAACAGAAAATTCACTATATTAGTGACCTGATTGCAGAAAAGCCAATGTATTTTCTACTCTACATATTTTAAAAACATAAGCATATACACATAGAAATTTATGGGAACCTATAAAATGTTATGTTGCTATTATCAACTATCAGGTACTATATTGGTCCCTAGTCCTTAAGCAGAGTTGTATAAAATTGGCGGCTAGAGCATAGACCTGCTTTGGTCTACTTTGAAAAATAAAGAAAATTACAACAGTTGAACCTCTTTTTTCATTTTTTAAATAAGCTAGAGTTTATTTGTAGCAGATTAAGAAATAATAGTTTATGCTAATGGTGATGGAATGATTTGGAAAAGAATAGTAATAATGCTTGCACAACGTGAAGAATGTAATCAATGTACTGAATTATACATATAGAAGTTGTTGAATTGGCGAATGTTTTGTTGTGTATATCTTCACCACAATAAAAAAGCAAATGAAAAATGTAAGAAATGCTTAAAGAATACAAAGGAGAGTCAGAAGCATAGATACCTGCATGTAATTTCTCAAATGTTAGAAGAGTCAGTTAAGCTGAATAATCAAAAAACTTGTAAAATTAAGTAGCCAACATCCACCTTATGCCAGTCAAATCAGTCTAATAAATCCACTGGCATTAAGAAGTTTTGGGGTGCTTAAAGTCCAGGTCAATTTATTTTCCCCAATTTTTTATTTTGAAAAGTTTTAAACATACAGAAAACTTGAAAAAATAGAATAGGTACTCCTAGAAATGTTAAATTTTTGATATTTTGCCGCATTTTCTTTCTCCATATATAATTCATACACACACACACACACACACACACACACACATATATAAACCAAACCTGTTGCCGTAGAGTCAATTCCAACTCCATGGCGACCTATTAGGACAGAGTAGAACTGCCCCATTGAGTTTGCAAGGCTGTAATCTTTACAGAAGCAGACTGCCATATCTTTCTTCCGCGGAGAGACTGGTGGGTTTAAACCGCCGACCTTTCTGTTAGCAGCTGAGCGCTTTAACATTGTGCTACCAGAGCTCCTGGACACACGTTAGCACATGGAAAATAGCTTTTATTACTTACAAAAATCGGCATACAACTGGAATAGTTCCATAATGACCAGCCCCCTCTCAAAAGCTGCCTGGGCAGAGATGATGACTCTTCCTTGCACACACCACTTTGTGCCATGGGTGAGGGGCTTAAATGGGACCCTACCTACTGCTGGTCTCCACCAGGTCAGATAGGTCCACTTAGGTGGACTGTAAGCTTATACAATCTGTGCCCCAACTGCACCATAGCTGAGGAGACTCAGAAAACTTTCCCTCTCAGCTATTTTATACACCCAACCTAAGTGACTAATTGTATCCTTTTAACCTTGCTAACAAAACATCCTACTGCATCATGTCCCCCTGACTTTCTGAAGGGGGGTGGTTAGCCCATAATTGTATCTTTTTAACCCTGCTAACAAACATCAGGCCTCAGTGTGTGAGTGTGTGATGCTGGTGGGGGTTGTTCTGAGGCCTAAAGACACCAGCAGAGAGAGAGAGAGAAAACCATGGTTGTCTGGCTTGTCTGAAGGACTTACTCCTCACAATGACGTAGGGAAATATTCATAATATACTGTTGACTTTAAAAAAGTATTTTAGGTAATATCCCAATTTTATAATTTAATAAATGTATCTGATATATGCAGAAAAAGACTAGAAGGAATTACCCAAGAATGTTATCAGTTATCCTTAGGTAGTGAGATTATGAGTGATGTCATAGTGAAAGAATTACAAGTCTGTCAAAAATTAAAAACCAAGAGTTTTATTGTGGTCAAAAGCTTTGCAAAATGAGAGACACAGTGCTGAGAGAAACCCAACAAAGTGCTCCAAGGAGCTACAGAGTTACAGAGGTTGATAAAGAAAAAAACCCCAAGTAAGGGAGGTACAACTGGAGTATTTCTGATTTGTTGACATTTACAAAGTTGCAGGTGGCAGGGTCCTGGTTGACAAGTTTTGCAGGGATTGACTTCCTTTACAAGGACGACTCCAGATGACAGGATTTTGTTTAACCATTAGTTTCCTGAAACAATTTTAAAATATAAATGCAGGGTACTATAAAGGGGGTCTAGGTGCATCTTCTGAGAATCAATCAACCACTAAAGTCACATGCTTCCTGGCGCATTACATCATCTAGACACCTGCAGCCCAGTTTCTGAGGTCAGCGAAGCCAAAACAGTTTCTGAGAAATGGTCAAGGGAGCAATAATGGAGTTAGATCTGCATTATACTGGTAGACTCTGTTAAAATATGGAAGCAAAGAGTTTGTTGAAAGAATAAAACGATTACAAGTGAAAATGCTAAGTATTCTTATGCTCAAGGGAAGAAAAATGGTTTTGATACAGAAAAGCTATAAGTATGTCTCTCTTTGACGTCAGCTTATTCTAAGTATAAGCACATCTCTTTGAAGCTTAAGCACATCTCTTTGAAGCTTAAGCACATCTCTTTGAAGCTTGAGCACAATTTGTTCTCTTTAACACCTGTGTAAGCAAGGTAAGCAAAGCCACATTTTTATGTGCAACTGCTCATATCTAGGTCAAAGGTGCAGTGGAAATTTTTACAGAAGTGACAGATCTACATGGGGTCTCAAAGCAAAATGGAGTGGGTTTGGTTCATAATTTAGAGGCTTTAGTTCTGTCAGATGCCTTAAATTTTTAATACTCCTTATCATTCCCCGCTTTTGATCAAGAATTCCTTTAGGAATTTGATGATCACACTCAAGAGTACTTTCTTCTGCATGGACTCTGTTAAATTTCTATCATCTCCTTGCTTAAGCTAGGAGCCTTATCTTCAGGGTGAGCTGGTTTTCAGATCCATTTTATTGGATTCTGATCACCCACAAAGGAGTATCTCTTCTTCCACAAGGGCACGGTTGTGTAGGATTATAGATGGCAGCTTGTCAATTACAAGCTTTTGAGACCCTAGATGCTATGTCTGGGCACCATCTGATTATGTTTCTTCACTATGCCATAGCTTAAATACTCTGCTTCAGTGATCTTTTATTAGGAGGATGTGAACAGAGGCTAAATAAGAAGGAACAATTTGACAGAAGGCTCTCAACAATAGTATGAAGTTAAACTCTTTTGAGTGGGTAAAGTATAAATATTTTATGATAAAAATTAGCAATGGAGCTAACTAATTTCTAGTATGAAATACAGAGCATACTCAAAGGTTAATGCCTTTTGGAAAATTATTTAAGTAAGTATATGAGAGAAAGAGCTTGTTTTGGGATGTACAGTCAGCTTGTTCTTTGGCACACCTAACTCTAGATAGGCAATGGGTGAATCTGTAATAGTTTGTAATTTCTTCAAAGTACATGATAGGTTGTACAGCTAAAGGAGTTTTTGACTGAGTGCAGAGATTGGAGAAACATTCCATA